TCAAATCAATTTTAAGACTTATACATATCGACAGTCTTAACTAAATGAGTGATTATGCAATAGTTTTTATTATTAACAACTTAAAATAATAATGTTTTATCTAATATAATAACTGAAGACCGTACTTACAAATCTAAGTAACACCAGACTGATTTCTTTGAACACTATGATAACACTTCTCGAATATTTTACAGAAATGAATACTAGAATTTAATTGGTGGGTGATGACTAGCAATGGAATATCCAGGATGCGCATTTCGTCCTACTTGGGACTCTATCTGCCATCTGGATGTACCTGCATTGCTCAGTGAGTGATCATTTTTCCACTGAGATCAAGCATTACGACCTAATCAATCGACAGGAAAATCTAAAATTCAGCTTAAGAAATGAATATTCCTTGTTCCTATTAAATTTTGTCACTAGTGAACATTTGATAAAGTTCATCACTCAAATCTTTCATGTAGTCTGAGATTTTTTTGCTTAAAAATAGTGTTCATCTGAAGAGATATACAGTGTTATTCAGACAAATTTTTGTATAACTGTGATTAATTTTTATTATTATTATTATTCTTTATTGTTATTGTTATTATTAGAAGGCATCTCTTCAATTTAATCAACTTTTTTTTGTGTAGAAAATAGTTTCTATAAAACTGAAATGCTCTCACTCAGTAGGTGATGAAAATTTTGATTTTTCTGTGGTCAGTTCGTCAGCGTTGGTGGAAAAGAAAAACTGGGAGGACTTATATGAATATATATATATATATATATATATATATAATAAAAGGGGGGGGTTAAAATCACTTAAACCTCTTTTTTGGGGTGTTCTATTTTCTCCTCCACTGATTTCCCACTTTTTATTTCATTTTTATTTTCAGTTTTTTGAAAATTCGCCTTTCCACTGACTATTAACGTAAACATGAAAATTCCATTTAGAAAAGAGTAATCCCCTCATAGTTGATAACTTGGTCGGGTGAGCTGATATAGAAGAGAAGAAAAGCGAAGCGAAGAGACGAGTGAAAACACACTTAAAACACTTAAATATCATCACATAATTTTTACAAGTTGAACAATTACTGGAAAAAAAGGAAGAAACTGATTATTATTATTATTACCATTATCATTATTAGTATTATTATTGCTATTACTAATGGGATATAACTAGTAGTTGTAACAGTTATAGGATAGGCCTGCCTATAATCTGCTAGCTAACTCTTGTCTTAAAAAGTAACGACAATGGTATGTGCATCGTTTGGGTTTGGTTTTACAAATGAAGCTTGTTCCTTGTTTTTCTTTCTTTCTTTCTTTCCTGTCTCTCTCTCTCTCTCTCTGATATGTTGGCATCTTTAAAATTTGATGGTGAAGAAGGGAAATCCGAAAAGAATGAAAAATATAAGAGTTACGGGAAAGATTTAGTGAAGCTTGCCTTGTTCTCTGGTCAGTATACTTTATCAGCTGGTTGTTTCAGGCAAAAACAAAAATGACAGATTTAATGGTGATTTCGTGTAATTTTGAATCAGGTTAACAGAGTTCGGATTAGAATAGTGTTCACTGTAGTTGGTTAATGATTATTGATGTAATGAAAGCAGGGTAATAGAATAATCATAGTATATATATATTTGATGTGGAAGACATTGGACAAATGATGTCACGTTCGGTTTACTGTTAGTTAGTAACAATCGGAAATCACTTAAACAGCGGATACTAGCCTGTCGGATGAATGTTAGTAGGCTGATTCATAAACTCATAGACACAATTGTTTTGCAAAGTTGTGAGTAGAAATTTAGGGGGCGTTACATTTGAATAAAATAGTCGGTTTTAAATGACTATCTAAGTGAAAGTAATTCACATTAAAAGATTGCATCTCGTTCCACTACTCCTCCTGAAATTCATTGGTAGGCTGAAAAGGTTAGATATAAGATTTGGTGTTAGATATTAGTGTGTGACAGAACAGCTTTTCAAAGAATGGTCGTATAGGACCTCAAGCTTTGACGTTTCAGCAGAGGTGGTGCTTCAGATTTTAAGGATTGGGTTTGTTTGCCTCATATCAGGCTTACTTTTTTTTCTGGATTACTATTACTACTACTATTGTGGTGGGAACTGACTGCAAGCCGAAATTGTAGACAACAATTTACGTCAATGTTTACGTCCTGAATCGGATTCATGGGAAAAAATGATAACAAAGCTCAACCTTGAGGAACTCATCAATCAATCACAGCAAATTGAACGAGTGTCAGTGCGATTTGCAGATATATGGCCTGACTTTCTGAGAAACAGTCATGAGCAGTACAGAATAACCTACAGTGAGAAAACAACCAATCAGAAGACGTTGTTCCTCTGTTAACATTAACGCTCATAATAATGTACATAAATATATCTCTTGATTGGTTACAGGATTTCATCATGAGCTGACATTAGATGGAGAACCTTTGGAAAACCTGGAAGTACTGGACAGCTGTTTCGTCCCAGTTAAGGACTCTTCAGAAGTACGCACTCACCGGGACTCGAACCCAGGACCTTCTGGTTACAAGGCGAGCGACCTCGTAGACCACTAAGCCACCGGGACCCGATCCAATGGCCCATGAATTCTATTTTCTGTCATTCACGACCCCCAGCACCTGGTGGGCGCGTACTCCCAGGTTTTCCAAAGGTTCTCCATCTAATGTCAGCTCATGATGAAATCCTCCAACCAATCAAATCCCTAAATACCAACACTTTAATCCCTTGATTATCTCAATAACCGACCGGTTGCCTGGCCCTTGTCCTTTGTCGTTACACCATTAACATCTGTCTAAAATTAGGAGTACATGGGTAGGAATCGAACCGGGACAATGTGAGTGTCTGCCTAGCGTTCTACAACTCAGGTACCTATATATATACATATAATGTACGTAGGATTAGGCATATACAGTTTGAGTATTGAAAAATATGGATGTTCAGCTCTTAAAACTGGATGAATGAATTCATTTATTTGTTTCGACTGCCTAAATTACTCAACGTTTACTAAAACTACTACATACTGTTTAAGTTTCTTTCCACTTACTTTGACCTATAGGTGTTAAATATCAAAGAAAATTTTTTGAAAATGTAGAAAATAGGTAATGTGTAACACCTTAGGAGTAAATGAAAGAGTAAACAGGTTGACCTTAACTCAATGAAAAGCCAAATAGAGGAAAGTCACTTTTGATGTTTACTTCATTACAAGATAAATCAAGTAAAACCCTTTGAAATAATTTTAAATAGTAGTAATAAAAAGTGTTTTGGTCTTCATTTAAATTAACTGCAGCTTTTTGTAATAGTAAACTTTATTATTATTATTGTTTCCTTTAGTTACTAAAGGAACATAGGGCTTCAGACTCACTTCTCCATTGCGTCCGTTTCTCTGCCAAAGTTTTCACGGGGTTGCACGTCTGCCCGCATGCTTTCATCTCCTCTTCACATCACCTCCTCCATGTCACCCTCGCACTGACGATCAAGTGGCTCGCCACTTCTCATTCGGGTTCCACTCGTAACTGAGCCTGGAGTGTGATGTCACTTGGTGGTTTGTTTTCTCAGAGTATGGCCAGCCAATCCACCTCCATTTCTTCCTGCATATTTCTTGCACAATCGGTTCCTGTTGGGTTGGTTCGCTCATCGCCAGAGATTCCTCACTGATCTTTTCTGACCGGCCATCTGATCTTGAGTAGTATTGAGCGAAGACAGCTGTTAATGTAAGTCTGTAGTATGTATGAGGTGCCTTTCGTGACTCAGTGGTCCAGGTCCTGATTCGCATAGTAGCACTGACATCACATTGAAGTTGAAAATCTGGAACTTATTACTCATGCTCACTGATGTCGATATCCAAACATACTTGAGAGTCTTAGAACCTTGCCTTACTTTGCCGATCCTTGCTTTGATATCTAGATCAGTTCTGTTCGCCTGTAGTTGAAACGATGTTTCCCTGGTAGGCAGGTAGGTAGGTAAAGGAGGTTGCTTCTTTCAGAATTCTCCCATTTATGCGAATTGTTGTCTGTTGTTGTTGGTCAGTAGTCTTCATCACCTCAGTTTTCTCTGTGTTCACCTGAAGAAAAAGTCCTATCTTCTCTGGATGCTTCTTTTGCCAACTTGTTGCTTTTCACTTGCATAGCTTCCGATTTTTGGGAAAGCAGACATATATCGTTGGCGATGTCAAGATCCTCCAATAGTAAACTTTAAATAAATCTAGATTTAAGCTTAACCGAATCAATATCTGTGTTTTAAAGTATTCATCATCACTCAAAATAATCGAATTCAGTAGACTTCAGGATACTTAAAATTAAAGAAATATTGACAATTATCGTGTTTCCTCATATTCTATGATAACAGTTTCAATACCTGTAGGTTTGCAAACATTTGTCAAATACTTTGCGCTTCCGCTTAATCTATCCAGTTGAGAGCGAGAACAAATACTCGCTGATGACATTGGCTGGTCCCAATCGTCCTAAAGTCAAGAACTGATAGAAGTTAGAATTCATGGACTTTCCATTCAGTGAGTCCCCTTGACTGAATGGTCTATGAGCTTGCCTTGTAACTGGAAGGTCCCAGATTCGAATCCCGTGAGTTGTCCATGAGTTGCAAACTAGGAAGAAACATCTGTCCAATGCTCCCTGATTTTCAATGGTTCTCTAGCTGATATATTAATGTGAGGTCAAACTTGAAACTAATCTCTGTCTGTTATAGTTGCATCTGATTTATCATGCTGACGAGTCAGTGTTATGGGTTTCATGTTTATTATTTGACATTTCATTTCCTTTGCAGAAGTCAAATTGTTCCGTGTATCTTATTCACACTACTTTTGTATGTGTAACAGTTTGTTTGTAAAGCAATAACTTGCGCTTAATTTGTCTCGTTGACATATATCATTTACAACCACCCTGACAATAGAATTAGCCTCTGTGGTTTTTGGGTTCATATATCTATTTATCTCCTGCACTTTAAATATTAATTTTTGTCACAGTGACTCACTTTAACTTACCCGAGTTTGTATGGAAGTTGAACACATTCACAGTACGAAATTCGACTTTATCGTATTTGTTTTTCGAGTTTGACCATGGATTGATATCAGTTAGAGGAACATTGAAAGCCAGGGAGTAATGGATAGCTGTTTAGTCCTAGTTCTTAGGACTCATCGGCAGTACTCACCCACTGGGTTCTGAACCCGGGACCTTTCGGTTACAAGCCAAGCTCGTATACCATTCAGTCACTGAGAGCTGACTAAATGGCTAACCCGTGAATTCCAACTTCTGCCAATTTTTGATTTTACCTTCACCACTACCCAATGTCACCGACAGGAACTCCATCCTCACTCCCAACTCGATGGACGTCACTGGTCACGATTCCTCACTAGAACTACAGGAAACTCCGTCCTGTAGCCAGTCACTCACTAGCGATCATCAGATTAATTTTCAAGAGTTGCTTTGTAAGGATTAAATTTGTTTTCCGAATTTGATCACAGATTGTAATGAATTAGAAGGTTACAGAATTTCGAATCAATAATTTCCTTATAAGCCATACATTTCTTTCAATATATTATCTAACCCGTAATCAATCTGAGAATATAATTACAGTTTAATTATCAATAATATTATTTCTGCCTTCATACCAATTGGAATGTAGGGCTTCATCAGAAAAATTCCATTCCAATCAGTTTGCTACTGTTCACATACTTACCTTTATGTCACCTTCCGATCCACACCTAACTGATCTCTCCCTATTTGGGTTTTACTTGAGAGGCTTGTTGACTTGTGATATCACTTAAATCTCCCCACGTACAGATCATCAAGTGATATCATACACCCGACAGACTGTCGAGTAAAATCTGAGTGAGAAAAGACAGATTTAACCCGAGTAAGGGGCCGACATGGAGGAAATGAAAGTTTGCTAGAGGTTGTAAAACTCGTTGTATGGTGAGAGCTATATGTTAGCCGGAATTGTAGACAACAATTTACATCAACATTCACGTCCCAAATCAGGGTCATGAGAAAAAAAACACATTAACAAAGCTCAACCTTGAGGAAATCACTAGCCAATCACAGCAGACGTAACGTGTGCAAATGCGATTCGCAGGTATATGGCTTAACTTTCTAAGAAACGGTCACAAACAGTACAGAATAACCTTGAGCAAGAAAACAACCAATCAGAAGACGTTGCTCCTCTGTTAACCGTAACTCTAATAATAATGTACATAAAAAATATATATCTTGATGCTCCCAATAAAAGATGTGTTGCCTAGCCCTTGTCTTTGGTAGTTACAGTCGTAAGTGACGTCAGAGAGCTCAATGGAATGAAGATGTAAAACTGAATCTCTGTGTTTCACTTAAAACGTTAGAAATGAGTAAATTACGGTGAGAAAATACTTCATGTATGTTGGTTACAATGAACAATCTCATTAAAAAAATATTTCGGTCTTTATTCATTCTTCTGCATATTTTTGTTTTTATTCATCTTAGATATCAATTTGACCAAATTACAATTGAGTAAGCTGAATTCACAATTACAATCCGTGGAGAATAGGATTGCATTTTTTGCTGGTCTTGAATTCAATGTAGTTGAAAAACCGTTAGATGAAAATCCTAAAGTGATAATGAATAAAGTTATTACTAATTTGGGTAGTGCATATAATCCTGTGACTGGTGAATTCATTGCACCTGTCAATGGGATATACATTCTATTCTTAGCTATATCAGCTCAAGGAAAATCAAGGGTAAGTGATAAATATTCATTTTATTATTTATTTATTCAAAGATAAAATTCATCTATTGAAACATATAATGCAAAAATCATAGTAAATCAAACTTTTCATGAACTGTAATTTTTGAAAATTGCTTTACATTCCCTGTGGAACATTAGGCTTCAAGCTAGGGCTTTGAAGTTTCGGTAGCAATGATATTTACTTTTACACGAAAGGGTTGCTAGCTTCATGCCCAAACTTCCCTGTTTATCAGTTTTATTACTGGCTTGGCGAGGTAAGTTAGTGCATCAACCAGGGATCGAAATTAAGACCACATGCGTGGTTGGCAAGCATTCTTTCGCTGTGCCACCAACGCACCGATGAACTATTGTAAAACCTGTAAAATAAAAAAGGCTATTAAAATCATGACCTCGTTTGCAGAATACCTGGCTGGGGTCTATGTGATGCTAAAAATCAGTTTCTATAGACTGTTGATGATATAGTTCAACATTGTTCTTAATATTTGTGAGATGTCTCAAATTCATTAGGTTTTCATTATTCCGGAGAAATTAAACAAGTGTGTCCTAGGGGTATGAACATTGCAATGACCTTGAACCCATGCTAGTCGCTGGCTAACGACACATGTCATTATTAAGGCGCAACTGTCAATGCTATTTACCCAGATCATGTTTGTAAGACAATGTTTGTTTGGACAATGTGTTTATAGCTCACTAGGGTTAGGTTTGTGGTTAAGGTAGGTATTGGGGTTAAGGTTACGATTAGGGATAGATTTAGAGTTGGTATTATTCATTTCAACCAGTTTTATAGTTAGTATTCTGTTTAAATTGAAATATATTTCAAATGGATGTTACCTCATATGATAAATTGTGCACTTTTCAAATGAATAATCTATTTTATAAATGTTGGGGTACCTAGCCTGTCATATACTCTTATGGTGTCCTCGTGACTTTTATTGCCAGATCTGCCAAGGGCGATGGGATAGTACGCAACCTAATGGTTGTGTACAAGGTTTGAAGAAGGCTGTGTGCTATATGCATGCGCCTTGCCCTGATAATGTTAGTGCGTCGGTGGCACAGGGGTTAGGAAGCACGCCAACCATGCACATGGTCCGGGGTTCGATCCCCGGCCGACGCACACCTTTACCTCGCTAAGCCAGAAATAATGCTGGTAAAGAGGAAAGGTTGGGTATGAGGCTAGCAACCCCATCCTGAAACCACTGCTACAGAAACTTCAAGCCCCTAGCTTGAAGCCCTATGTTCCACTGGGAACGTGAAGGAAAAATTATATTATTATTATTATTTATAGTCCACATTCTCCTGGTAAGTAGTCATCGATCCTCTAACTGGAACTCACAGTAATTCAACTGAAAGCTTTTGGGGAAGACTGGAAACAGGATAAGAGTGATAAACGGGTCACAGAATAAGCTCACCTAAGGTCACATCGAAGAATACATGTACAGAAACAGCTCTAATTTAAAAGCTGACACTCCTCATTAAAACTGAGATGCATTTTTAAGGCATGTCAGAGAAAGATACCCAGTTCAGTGTGTTTTAATATATTTTCTTGTAAATAAACGTCAGTTTTTGTGCAAAAATCACTTATTTTTATGGTTGGTCGGCTCAAGTACACTCGTACGTCCGCATACCTTGGGACGTTATTGTTTAAATTCGCCCTTTATCCTGAATATTTCCTCTGTTTTCTGAATTTATGAATGCTTATGTGTGAAAATTTGAACTGATGCATATTTTGCAAACATTCAGCTATGAAAAGTAAACGATTCACCAAATACTGATAGGATTCAGTGTTTTAATCAGCATAGAACTGTAAATTTTTAGTCATGTAATAGTTCACTAGCCGATCCTTAACTTGGAAACTCTGGAAGACAAAGAGTGAGGCTGGCAACATTATTATTATTATTGCTCCCTTGGGTTCCTAGTGGAACATCGGGCTTCAACTGCACGTCTCCATTTTCTTCTGTCTTCTGCTGTACTTTTCGCCTGCATCCATGTTAATCCATATTCTTTCAACTCCTCTTCACACGATCTCCTCCATGTCACCCTTTCACTGACGTCCCTCACGCAGCTTCCCTATCGGGTTCCACTCGAGGGCTTGGCGCGCGATGTCACCCAGAGGTCTCCTCAGCGAGTGTCCAATCCATCCATCTCCACTTTCTCCTGCATATTTGTTGGTTGGTGATTGCTTCTTGTTTTGTTTGTTAGTGACCATAGTTTCTTGTTGGTGATTCTTTCCGGCCCGGCCCGGCCACCTGATCTTCAGTATAGAGCCAGCGAAGACAGTTGCTGATGAAGGCCTGCAACAGGCTGTTGAAAATATTCTTTGTGACCCACCCGCCAAGTTTCTGATCCGTATAGAAGAACTGACTGACTTGACGTTCGTATTGAAAATCCTACCGAATTTTGTTGTTGATGCTGAGTGACGAAGATTTCCAGATTGGTTGTTTCAGGTTGATGAATGTGTTTCTCACCTTCCCGATTCTCGCTCGATTTGACATCCTCGTCTGTTCCAACAGCCTGTAGTTGAGACAATGCTCCCTGGATAAGTGAAGTGGATGAATTAGCCTCTTTCAAATCCCTCCCGTTGATGGTGATTGTTGTTGGATGTTGCTGATGCTGCTGTTATTGTTGGCTGGCAACATAACTACATAAAAAAAACACCACCTTGAATACTTTCAGATACTTCAAAGCACGGAAAGAAAGTAAACTTATTCTATGGAGGATTCAGTGAAGAAGGAGATGGACTCGCCACAAAGTGTAAATCGAACGCGTATTGATGTGATTAGGATTTGGTACCGAGGGTGATATGCAGGAAATGATGACATGAGGATAAAATGGAAGTCTGTGAGTGTTGCTGTGGAGCCAACTGAAAATGATAGCAGAGTACTAAGTGGAATTGACATGTGTCGTTAAGGTAGTATACAAAGTAAAATTTAAAAAATATGGCAATAAAAGTGATGTTTAAAAATAAATACAGGAAAACGAGAAATAAGTAAAAGCGTAAGAAGACGAAACGTGTTCAACGGTTTTAGCAAGAAAGAAGAGACAAGACAAGGAATGGCTCTTCATGGACACATGGAAGCTAATAGAAGAGAGGAGAATGGTGAAAGAGAAAATGATTCAATGCAAAGAAGGACAAGAGAAAGAGACGCTGAGCTCAACATACACAGCCCTGGACAAAGAAGTGAAGAAGAGTGCTAGGAAGGACAAAAGACAATTCTACGAAAATCTGGTCACTGAAGCTGAAAAGGAAGCAGGCAAAAGGGACCCGAGGACATTATATCAGATAACCAAATCTCTATCTGGGAAGAGATCAACAAAAGCGAAACCTATAAAAGACAGCCAAGGGAACCCAATCACCAAAGAAGAAAGTCAGATAGAACAATGGGCGGATCACTTCAAAGGACTCTTGAACCGACCACCACCTGCAACCCGTCCAGAAACACCAACAACAGCACGTACACAACTGCAAGTTGACACCAATCCTCCAACGAGAGCTGAAGTCTTGAACGCAATCAAGTTTCTGAAAGCTGGAAAAGCAGCTGAACCAGATGGAATACCCTCTGAAGCACTGAAAGTGGATGCACAGACGACAGAAAACATGCTGACTGCATTATTGCAAAAGGTCTGGAAAGAGGGAAAGGTGCCTACTGACTGGAGGAAAGGTTACCTCGTGAAACTACTAAAGAAGTGCGACTAAGGACTCCGCAAGAACTGGCGAGGAATCATGCTCCTGTCGACGCCAAGTAAAATTCTGAGTCACATCATCCTGGAGAGAATAAAGGACACACTGGATGCAGAACTCCGACCAGAACAAGCTGGATTCAGGAAAGGCAAATCATGTTCTGACCAAACTGCAACTCTACGCATCATCACCACAGAACAAAGCATGGAATGACAATCAAACCTCTACCTCAACTTTATAGACTTTGAGAAGGCCTTCGACAGACAGCGTTGACCACGAAGTAATTTGGAAACTACTCGAGTACTATGGTGTAACCCAAATATTCGTCAACCTTATTCAACAGCTGTACGACAATGGCACATGTCAAGTGATCCACAACGGAAAACTCAGTGAGGCGTTTGGAGGAAACACAGGAGTCAGACAAGGGTGCTTATCATCACCAATGATATTCCTGGTTGTAGTGGACTGGATTATGCGTCAGACAGTGGGAAACGGGAAACAAACAGGGATATCCTTAACCGACGTGAAGAGCTCAGAAGACCTGGATTTCGCGCGTGGATGATTTATGTTTGATGTCACACAAAGTCGAAGACTTACAAGCGAAAACCGACAAACTGGTCGGAGAAGCAGACAGTGAAGACAGGACTCCATGTGAACATAGACAAGACGGAGGTGATGAAAATAACCAACCAGACAATAACGACAACAGCAGCAGCAACATCCAGCGCCAATCACCATCAACGAGAGGGATTTGAAAGAGGTTACTTCATCCACTTCACTTATCTAGGGAGCATCGTCTCAACTGCAGGCAGTTGGAACGGATGAGGATGTCAAATCGAGAATCGGGAAGGCTAGAAACACATTCATTCATCAACCTGAAATCAATCTGGAAATCTTCGTCACTCAGCCAGCATCAACAACAAAATTCGGTAGGATTTTCAATACGAACGTCAAGTCAGTCAGTTCTTCTATACGGATCAGAAACTTGGCGGGTGGGTCACAAAGTATATTTCCAAAAGGCTGCAGACCTTTATTAACAACTGTCTTCGCTCAATACTGAAGATCAGATGGCCGGGCCGGAAAGAATCACCACCAAGAAACTATGGTCACTAACAAACAAAACAAGAAGCAATCACCAACCAACAAATATGCAGGAGAAAGTGGAGATGGATTGGACACTCGCTCTCTGAAGAGGCCGCTGGGTGACATCGCGCGCGCGTCAGGTAATTGCTCGAGTGGAACCAGGCCGAAAGGGAAGTGGCGAGTGGGACGTCAGTGCAAGGGTGACATGGAGGAGATTGTGTGAATAGGAG